TGAATGAAAACACCTATCATCAAATTAAAATTTTTCGGGGAAATAATGCTCGGCGAAACATGAGTCCATTAAAAGTGTTTTATAAACGCAAAGACTTCTCTTCATGAGAAGGCTATCTGAAAATAAATCCATCATTGTACTAGCCAAGTCAAGTCAAGTCAAAGTAAGCTTTATCCACCACCGTGTGGGTGCATTTTCAGCATTTGCACATCACCACTGTGGATTAGCACACAACAACGCATCACTGTGAAATAACAATTAATAAAAGTAACCGAAAATCAGGATCTTCATGCACGCATGCGCTCACGAAAGCGGCGTTTCACTCCTGCTGGCTCGAGTTGGAAGTGTGATAGAAAATGCAGGATAGGGTTTCGATGCGACGAGATACGACAATAGAAAACATTAAAGTTTGTCCGCTTGAAAGAAGTAGATATAGTGCTGGCTGGGATACCGCGTAGAAAGTGTGAGGAGTCATTTAAGATCTTGGATGACAAGTTGATGTATGCATCGAAATGTTTGTTAACAATGAAATCAATGGGCGTTGGTTGCCCTAAACCGGAGCAACGCGAAATGCGCTTCAACGAACGGACTAGGACATGCGCTTTTTGAAGCAGTCCCGGAAAAACAACCGGAGAAGAGTATAACCATTGAGGGAGAATACATGCAGTCACAAAGTGTAGACTTAAAGCACGGGTAGCAGATAGCATTCTAAGTCTGATGGTGAAAAAGAGGGCTAACTTGTTCACATGTTTCAAGAATATGTGTAGACCAAGATACACTATGAGAGAGTGAAACTCCTATGTATATTTCAGTAGATGTGCTAGGTTTGCTATAGTCATCCACAAACATTGGAGGAGAGATATGTACAAAGGACTGTAGTCTGTTGGGATGTCGAAAACAGAACGTTACGTCATAACACTTGAAAGAGTTGAGCGATAGGGAACTGGAGTGGGATCAATTCAGTAGTTCGTCGAACCCTTGTTGAAGTCTCAACGTGTCGTCAATGCTTGGGGCTATACATCACAGGACAATGTCATCAGCATATTTACGGCCTATGAAATTTGATGGAATAGGGAGGCTTTCAATGTAGGCGGTGAATGAAAAGGGGGACAGGATGGCTCCATGCAAATTACCACAATAGGCTGCATTGCTGCGTATAATGGGTGCGATTTGTGAAGTAATCACTCATCACAATACAAACATATAGATAGGACGCCGTTCTCGAACAAACGGTTGAGCAGTAGTGATCTAGCAATTGAACAAAGATGAAGAAGGAGGAAATCCGTTTACTGATGGTGACATTAATGGGAGTATATGCTGGAAGATGTGAATAAGTTGTGTCCTAAGAAAGCCGATTAGTTTGCAACTGTTAGCCATTCAGCAAGTTCAGTTGTGCGAAGAACAGAACATAGTGCTACAGATACATGAAAAACTTAAAACAATTTTGCGCTAATCTGTGGCGCTGAATGTGTCTACTGATCTCTCTAGTGCGTCACAATTTCTCGAGTTCATTTGCCATGTCAATTCGGAGTTTCAGATAACGGAAGAGTTGGCATCGGTCGGAAGCATGCATAGAACGACAACCGGAAAGGATATTTTTGTGGAACTAGCTTTGTGCAATCGGCTTGGATGTGTCGGACTTGATGGAGAGGGAGAAACATGGCTGGAGTGAGGAAGGGTCTGGTAGGGTAGATCAGGACTCGATTGGCGGAGTTGAACATCCCAGTCGCTCTGTTAATACCATGCATCCTACGTCTGTGCACACTCTTTGGGAAAACTTTGGAGATTTCTTGGGTATTAAAACTTACCTCTTTTGTAATTTCATTCGTGGACATGCTTACCATCGCAATCAGTTCCAATCTTTTCAGGAAGATTTTCGGAATCAGAGGTCTTGTCTTGTCACACATTAGTGAGGTTACGAAGTTGCTGTGAAGTGCTGTTTCGTTTTAAATAACTGAAAAGAATTGGCTCCTTTCCTCACTGAAAACGATAGAGTTGCCTCACAGAGTTATCAGATCCTACCTGGCTATCAAAGTTGATGGGTATGCAACTTGAAAATTCCCATCTAGACTTCGAAAACACGAGACCACATGTGAACAATTGTTCTCAGTGATTCATTTACAGAGCATTATAATCATATTAAACGGTACAAGAAAGAAATAAAACCAACCAGTTGACTCGAAGTACACAGTTCATTTGCGGTTCAGTGTTTGAGGCTATAAGTTGACCTTTGGCCTAACATGTCGATTGCGTAGTACCGAGCTCGGTCTGTGGCAGTCGACCTCAACATCATCAGTTCTCGTCGGCCGGGGAACGTAAAGAGCATGGATCAACTGCTTTTGCGAGCATAAAGAAGGCTGACACAACGGAATGCAAATCGATTCAGCTGTCGCGGAGTGCACTGAGGCGCAGACCTCTTGATTGGTGTTGAGGGACCCGGTAACTTATCCTGAAGACACGCTTTAGATCAACTTGGTGTCCAGCGTCGACAATCTGAGCCAAAACGACGCTGCTAATGGCCCAATTTCGTCTTGACGGAGCCATTGTGGGTGGAGTTCCTTCGCGCACTTAGACAAGTGCATTGCCGTTCGACCAATATAAGTAGCGTCACAGGTGCACTTGAACTGATAGATAACCAGAGACGAGGTCAGCACTGGCAACATAGCCTTATTGTGTGAACAAACAGGTGGTTCATTCAAAAAGGTGCACCTTAGCCGGGCCACTGGGTAGGTCGACTTTGCTTCCGCTGAAAGTCTTTTCGTTAGTCGTTCGGTAGCGGCACCCGCTTTAGAAAGTCATCTTATAAATAACTTTGTCGCCGCGGTAAATGCTGGTACCGGCCTAGGTTTCCCTTTAAAATCCTTTGCAATAAATCTAGCTGGGTAGCCATTCTCGCGCAGTGTGTTTGTTATAAAGGCTAGCACCGCATCCAGGTTGTCCTGTGAGCAAGTTCTCTGTGCTATTGTGGTAAGGCATATGATCAGATTTCGCTTATATATCAAGGGGACGAAACTGGAAATTCCTGTACTGACTAATCAACCTATTCTTCCTGCAGGCTGCCGCTGGACAGAGCCATGTGGCCTCCAGGTTAACAAGACTTCTAGCTAAGGAAGCCGATTGCATGTCTCTGTCTCGTAGGTAAATTGCAGTACCGCATGGACTCGGTTAAACCGCCTGAGAACTTCATCCTGATTAATGCATTCATCCACCACCACAAATATATCATCCGTATAAAGATGGTAGCGGTCAAAATTATTAAGCTCCGCTCGCAATTTGTTTCGCTGTAATTTGGTTTTTGTGTTTGACATCACAGTCGAGCTGAATGAACTGAGCTTAAAAATGCAAGGAAAATACGACCTCATCTGTGATTTCTACAGAAGCATCAACGGATTTCGGAGGAAGATCTCATTGTTTGAATCACAAATGGAAGAAGAAACGTTTACTCAAATTCGCTGTTTAAAAGCGTTTAGCGGTAGGATCACTGAAATTGTGCCTTTTAAGTTACTGAGGAAAAGTATCCGTGACCTGAAGTGTCATTTTTTAGAGAGTTTTTCAGAACTTGACAGACTGAGGAGCGGAAGTCTTCCGTTCTAGAATCCGTTTGATTGCTATCTTGTTGGTGTTCCAGTTGAACTACAACTGGAGATAATTGCTTTGAAGACAAATGACTTGTTATAAAAGAATTAGAGGGGAAAAAGTTGTTGCATTTTATCGATGCTTACCTAAAGCTAAATTTCCGGGGCAGAATTTTGCCGCTGTTTATCTTGCCTTCTTCCGTGCTTCCTGTGCTGTCTTCGATAACGCGGCATCGTACTAGGTGATTGTGGGATGAGCATCCCGGTGCCCACGGGGTATTTATTTTGTGTTGCAATTCCAGTGATCTAGTAAGAAGGTGAATGCTATTGGGACAATGAAGCACTTGCACAGCGGCATCATCACTACAGGTGTAGCGGATTTGCACTAGATACTAGTAGAAGGCAAACCGGAGATGGGTGTTGTCCGGTTGGTTATTTTGCTCAAGGTTGGACAACCTGATTGCAGACGTTTCGTCACCAGTAGAATAGTACTTGGCAAATCCACCCGCGGACTTCACTTCCGCCCGTATTTGTTTTAAACTGCTAACCGTCTTGCACTGATAATGTCTCGTCGACTGACGCGAAGACGTCGTAGTCAAATCGCCTAGTTCGGCGAGCAAGTCAACAACTGGAAAACAAACCTCAGACAATCTCATTCCAAATTAGTTCGAACTGTTATTATTCACTCATCTATTAGCTTTCATTTTGGCCATTGTTCTGGCAGCACATTGTCTCTAGTCAGACATGTGAATACATTGTTATGTGCAGTTGGTTAGCGCAGTTTCGCTCGATGATGAACAGAACTGTGGTGGACCGTCAATGTGACACAGTGTTGTGCACGCATGCCAACGCAGTCTCAAGGACAGTACGCAGACCAGAAGAGATCAGTCAACCTATCGTCTCTCAAGAGACCTTCATCGGTCACAAACCTAGAATAGCCCATTGTCTGTACCGATGTTACCAAGCCTGCTAGACGCAGACGTAGGTACAGAACATGCAAAGCATTTGACAGCGGACCAAGAATAAATCGTCTTCAACGAATGTTAGTTACGCCGTTACCTACTAGACAGTTTTCATACGGACTTGGTGTAGGGCTCGTTCGTCAGTGCACGTTTTCACACAACAGCAAAAGCGACCCAAAGCTGCACGACCCCATGACTGTACGAACATACACATCGGCCAATTAGTAGCCTGATCTTTCCGTTAGGCCCACGAACGACACATACATCGGGTGCACACCGCGTGTTTACACTCACTGCCAGTCAAAACTTGTACAAGCGGTTTAGAGAGTGCGCCGAATCCAGTAAATAAGTAATTAAATCAGATTAAATATGGAGTTTATGGATTAAAATACGAAAGGGAGGCGCAATGGTACCACAACAATTGGGGTGAAGAGTACAAGCGCAAGTCGGTAGCTACGCTGACTTCACCATCGGAGCCTCCACGACCAATGTTTCACCCTGAAGCTGCGTAACCAAAGACAGCGGATCCACCGTCTCCGGAATCGTATATGCCCGATGGAACTCCTTTGTGTGGCTGCAATGTGATGAACCGGACCCTTCTTCCACATGCTTCCGTCCGGACACTACAACACGGTTCGCGTCGATACGCACATTCAAGTCGTCCGCTGTGAAACCGGGTTCGATCGGGACCTCGACATGCAATTTCTGTCCCGTAGCGCCATCCTTCAGCACTGTCGGTCCAGTAACACCTAGCCACAATAAATATACACGGATAAGCTTTTACACAAATTCACGCAACGGTGTACCGAGGTCACACATTAAATGTGCGAGACGGTTGCAAGCAAAACAGCAGTAACAAAGATCGCTCACCGGTAACCTGCAAAGCCAATGATTTGTCCGTGGTTGGCTTCACTGCCAGCTGAGGCTCATGATTAAAAGTTAACGATTCGTAGTCTGGCGTCTTCACAGGAGCTTCTAACATCAGGATACCGTCCTATAGGAATTGATGAAAAATACATCGTGTAATGAATAGTTATTTCATTAAAACCAGCCAACGCGCTCTTACGGGAGCACGAATCACGGACTACTTACTGATGTCAAGTGGCACTGAAACTGACCATCGTCCACCGGTTCCGGTAAGTAGATTGTGCGGCAGAACTCAGAAGAGCTAGAAGAAGAACTCGTTTTACTGCTCTTCTTTCCGTGCACAGTAAGCCAGTTCTTTGACGTCGACACCTTGATATCTTTCGGTCCGAATCCCTTCACATTAAACTTTAGTTTGAAATGTAACTACGAGAAAACAGTAGATAACGTTGGCATGTTTACACCCACCTTCCCATCCTCACCAACTTCGTATGCGTCCTTAAGGAAGTCGAGTGGGCCATCTGTGCGCGCGTATGACGGAACAATCGAGCCCCATTCTCCATGCTCAGTCAGCATGGGCAAGTTGTCCATATAACGATTCGCAGCCTCTAACTGTCGTTCCATGCGTTGAAGTATTGAAGGGATGTGACCGAACGACCCCAGTGGAACAAACGGCTCCAAGTCGAAATCAGTGGTAGGCTTTAATGTAAGAAGAGAACGGAAATAAATGTATCAGCAGTACGCCGGAACGCAGTACCGACGCTTCGCTACCGCGCAACCACCAACAGTCGTACGCGGGACAAGGATACGGCGAGTGTCGCCCGGTCCCTACACAGGCTCGAACCCGCGCCCTCAGATTGCAAGGCAGGCATGTGATCCCTAAGGCTACGGGCCGAGCTTAGACATAAGAGAGACTAGGTTTCTGTTTGCAAAACGACGCACCAGCCACAAAGTAGGAACATTCATCCGGGAAGTAAACTTACCACCAGAAAAAAGGTGTCCCTCTCCATACGCCGCATGTAATCATTCCAGCGTTTATACGTCTCACCAAGCCAGTGGTCAATCTCATCTGCCCAGTCACTACGCCTGAGTTGACCGTTGGCCTCGTTCATCGTTTTGGGGGACACAACCTTCTCCGCGTTTGTCGCCGTACGGTTTTTCTTGTTCAAATCTGTCATCAAATCCTTCTTCTTTTGTTCGAATGTCCGAGAATCGGTGGTAATCGGAATAACCCGCTCATGAGGATCGGCGCCCATCTCGAGAGAATCAGAGAGACGAGGAGATCGTAGTCGAGGTGACAAGTCCGCTTCGCGACTTGAGGAACCCGCGCGCTTCATCCTAATTTGACCGTAAACAGGATAATGTATGCAGATTCCAGACGCCATTTCGGATTGGCTGCCAACCCACCACTATACAAAGCAGCGATAGGATTGGTCTGACCTTGATGAGCCAGTGGCGAATGGAACGCGTGCATTGGTTGGCCTGTCTCCAGCATCGGAGACTGAATGTCCGCCAGCGTGAGCTGCCTCCACCCCAAGCCTTCGACTTCGACTAGGTCACTAAATATCACGTGATGATGTAATACCAAGCCAAGCTGCGTTTGTGATGATGCTTCAATGCAGCCGGGTTTCTTCCGCATTACAATGTGTATATGTAAATAAGTAAATAAAAAATTGTACATTTTCTGATTCAACGACCACGACTGATCGAAACGTGCACGACAATAAAGAAAGTCGTTTTTCACTTTTGCTAGGATATCAAATTTGACTGTTGTTTCAATGTGCATTCTGATGTGCCACAAGATGTCTATATCGGGTCTGGTAGGTCTCTTGAGAATATTAATAAGGCAAGATGCTGGCAGATCTACCGAACAGTTCTCTCAGAATGTACTTTTCGGCGTTATCGGGAAGCTCGGAATGCTTGCAAGAGTCATTTACGAGCTGCTAGACTTAGCTATGAGATGGAGCTGGCTAACTCAGCCTCCGCGAATCCCAAAACATTCTTCGCCTACGTCAAAAGGCGTAGCAATGTTGGCTCATCTATCCCAGTGTTATTAGGCAGCGACGGCGCCACTGCCACCACTGATCACGAAAAAGCATGTCTACTGAGTGCGCAGTATGCCGGAACGTTTGTTCAGGATGAGCAATTGCCGCATCTTGACCTAGCAATGAGAGTCCCCCAGGACTCCTGTTTAACACACGTCACAATTTCGGAGGCAAAAGTTCTCCATCTTCTTCAGGCTCTAAATCCTGCTAAATCCGCTGGGATGGATGATATTCACCCTAAGCTTCTGTACGAACTAGCAAGCGAGCTATGTGGCCCAGTGACTCGTTTGTTTCAATTGTCGCTTCGCAGCTGCTCCTTTCCTAAGGACTGGAAGGATGCTATCGTTTGCCCGATTTTTAAAAAGGGCGACAAGCATCTTCCTGCCAATTATAGACCAGTAAGTTTGACAAGCGTACTGGTCAAGGTATTGGAGAAGTTGGTCAGTGAGGTGCTTGAAGACCACCTGCGGGAGTATGGTCTGCTCAGTCCACTGCAACACGGCTTTCGCAAGGGTCATTCCTGTATGACTAATTTGCTAGTTGCACGCGAATGTTGGGCGGATGCTTTGGATCGGGGTCATGCAGTAGATGTCGTGTTTATTGACTTCTCCAAGGCGTTCGACACTGTATCACATTCTCGCCTTTCCTTGAAACTTCGGTCCTATGGAATATCCGGGGGTATACTAAAATGGATCACCACGTTTCTGGAAGGGAGAGAGATGTGTGTTCGTGTCGGGTCTAGTCTGTCCTTCCGACAGTCAGTTCTCAGTGGGGTCCCTCAGGGTTCGGTGCTTGGTCCGTTGTTATTTTCCTTGTATGTCAACGAGCTGCCCGAACTGCTGGACGTACCATCTCTCATGTTTGCAGATGACCTAAAGTTTTGGCACATAGTGTCTGACTTCGATGGACCCCAGATTCTGCAACGGGCCCTCGATCAACTTTGGGATTGGGCTGCTCTGTGGCAGTTGCCCATAAACTATGCAAAGTGTTACATCTTACGAGTAGGGCCAAATAGCCCCCAAACGCGTTATTTTCTTGGCGGTAATGAACTCCACCATGTTACCCAATTGGTAGACCTAGGGGTCACATTGTCTTCAGAACTTAAATCCAGTGAGAACTGGAGGAAAGCTACGTGCAAGGGTTTCAGAATGTTGTGGATGATCCGCAGGGCATTCGGGACCATCACGGGAGCTATGTTTGTTAGGTTATTCTCAGCGTTTGTCAGGCCACACTTGGAATACTGCATGCAGGCTTGTCCACCTTGCTTAGTCAGGGACAGGATGTCAGTGGAGAGAGTGTTGAGAGTTGGAACCAAACTGGTCCATGGACTGCGGAACCATTCTTACCCAGAAAGACTACTTGCGCTGGGGATGTTCTCGATGCACTATCGTCAACATCGAGGCGACCTAGTCTTGACCTATCGTATACTTACCGGTAAAACCGGACCCGATTTATCCGGGCTTTTCCAACCGGCTCGGCTTCCATCGCTCCGCGGTCACTCGCTGAAGCTACACAAACCTCGATCGGATGGAGTCCGGGCGGAGTTTCGTTTATCACGCCGAGTGGTGGATTCCTGGAATGCACTGCCCGAAAACGTGGTATTGGCACCAACGGTGAAAGAGTTCGAACACCGACTCGACGCTCTTGGCCTTCAATTCTTAACATTCCCCTTCACTTCCTAGTTTATTTGTTTTATTGAAATATTAAATCTTTTTTTCCTTGACGCTCTTATTACTTTCGTACTTCTTTTTCTTATTTCACGTGACCGGTGCGGCGGGAACTGCCAGTGCAGGTCGCGTGGGTATTAATTGGTTGACCGTGGTGTGATTCGCGCGCGCTGATCTGACTCTTCTGGATTCCAGTTATCGCGGACGAATAATACCCTGGATCAACGATGCGTCACGGAAGGAACATTCACGGGGACTTATCCTACTGTTCCGGTCCCACTTGAACTTGAACTTGAACTTGAAATGTGTAAAGTAGGTACCAATGTCCTTTTAGCACATTTGGTCATGGCTATTTGGTAGTATAGAATACTGGTAGTGACGATCAAATAAAACTGGAACAAGAGGAGCACCTATAATATGTGAATGTAAGAGTAAAATTTGATATAAGTGGTAAAATCATCGACAATGAAGACGGGGAATATGGAATTATGTTTGCTTGACTTCTCATAATGCACTCATCGGGGACAACTTTGTCGTTGGCATAGGTAAGAAGGAGGAAGAAAGATGAAGATGGTGAGTAGAGGGGTCTTACTATTTTAATATTCGCTATCTTTGTATACTGGTTTGTGGAGTACATAAATCCTGGACGTTGATCGTATGCTTGGCTATTCGCTAAGTCTCTCCAATAGATGGATCACATTTTGCACGGTCAAGTCATATGTTGAAATTCCTGCTCTGAATTGCTAGCGCGGATATCGGTTGGCAATTTGTTTCAGAGTGGTCGCAAGCATCCAGTGTGGAACGAACTATGGCCCAGCCACCGCCTTGTTTACTTCTGGTATGCACAACCCCATTAGATAGCCAGCAATGATGTTGCTGCTGTGCATGTTGAAGGAGTGTAGGCCGACTCCGTTGATGAAACGTGGCTCTCGATCTTATTACTTCGGGTTGACACTGGATGTGGTGTATGTGGATGAAGATGTGGTTGGTGCAGCGCAAGCTACCCATGATCCCTCTGTAGGTGCAGGCGTCCTGTGGCTGTCCTATGGAGGCCGCAATGACAGGCAAACACGGAAGTTACAAACTGTAGGACACGTAATGGTGTAGGAGAGCCGCACAGCGACGAGCTAAAATTGTCAGTCGTGTGTAAGCTTCTATTTGGGACGTTGCTCTCATTGAGAGATAGATTTTGTACTCCTCCGTTCGGGTTGCGTTGTGTTAGATTTCGACCTTTCCCATCGGACATTTTCAAACCCCCTCCGCGTTTGCTGGTAGCACCTTGTCCTAAACGATGAATTTGAAAGTGCCAAATGTAGCTGAATTTCCCCTTTTCTTGATCTTGTTTTGCCTAACATGTTTGAGTCGCTTTGCCACCTACACATGTAAGGCGAGCAGTTGTCAGACCGCGCTCTCGCCGTTCAGCCGGGAGGAAAACATGATGGCCAGTCTAGCAGGTGGGACAGCTCGGGACAGATGACTTCCTGTCCAACACGATGAATCACAATCACACCTGTTGCCTTTCCCATGTTCATTGTAGTTCTTCTCTTCCCCGATTTCTGTGACTTTATTTGTTATACTAATTATTTTATTCAGAAAATTACACTTCAAATGCGCCGGAAATATTGCCGATTAGCGAGGGCTGACAAATAACTAAATACCCAAATAATTAATCAATTTTTCAGCAAACTAGAACGCACTTCAGCACACGTGGACTGATGGTGGTGAATAGAATTGTTTAACGATAGTTACAACAGATGGTTACCCGCAGAGCAGACATATTATTACGCTTGAGCAAGACATAAATCTACATCCACAAAGGCTGAAAGGAAAGGAACTGAGCTCACTTATCCTCACAACATCCCGGTAACACACAATACATCTTTATTGATCGAGTCAATACGTTAGCAGTTTACTTTGATTTAAATCGCCCCTATGCGTTTGCTACCTTATATTACTCGGCTAACACAACCGAAGCTTTGAAGACTCATATGCAGCTACATTAAGCCTACTCTTCTCTTTTCTTTCGCATATGATTAAAACTACACCAAGCACAGATTTTAAGAAGGAAAACTCTAAGCGAACAAGCGAGGCACCCATCGTCGTCGTTACGGAGCCAAGGCATGGCAGGTGTGCCAAACTCGTCCGGATGCATTGGGGCGAACAGATAGCCAACCGGGTGAAGTGGCCAATTAACAAGAGGGTGACCGTAGCGGAAGTTGGACTTACATCGGAAATTCTGCTAACCCACAATCGCCATTCACTCTGCGGCTGACATATCGTGGATAATTGTTTACCTGACTGTGTGCGTTCACCATCTGTGAAACAATGACCCACAAGAACCATTCTCACTTTGTGGCCACCGAGACTGTGGCACTGATGCATTCCCTGTCCTTCACTGTGCGTAAGCATGTATGTACGTTTGTTTATCTTGTCCTTGTGCTGTTGCTCCGGACTCAATATTCACTGGGTGAGCTTGAGCATGATGTGCACCAAGCATTCCTGCTTAACCATGAGATCAATTCTTGCCCCATGCATTGGTGTATGATATCTCCAATCCAGAAGGACTATGTGTCCTGTGATCCATCAACAGTTGCACTTGTTTCACTAGCGCTATTGTCGGCTCGAGGTGTGACCATTCCTTGTACTATAGCTGTCTGTGCCCCCCCCCAGCGCTAGTTCTTGTCGACCTCAGAACGAGAACAATTGAGGTTTGTTGGTATACTTAATTAATGCTCTGTAAATAGCACCGTAGCTCTTGGATCCATTTTTGTTTTTAACCAATTTGGGATCGTTTTCTACTTGTTGTCTCAACGACAACATTTGGTTGTTACAGTGGCACTACTTAGTTGGCCGTAAGTCGACCCGTCTGGAGTTTTCCACGTGAGCTTTAAATACAATTCACGAACTTTTGATTTTACCTTTATAATGAACGGTTTGATTGGCCATAACGACCCTGTCCCTCTGCTCGTCACATCCAGTCTTCTGTCTTTCTTGTGGCGGGCCAGCAGCCACCAGTTCCAATTGATAATCAGCCATCTAAGCGAGCGGACAGCCACTTCAACAAATAATAAGACTAGTATTACTATAGTCTATTATGCATAAGTGTGTGCTACTTGTATGATGTCGCCTGATGGCTCCAGTTGCTTCAACCCATTTTTAGGATTCTTCCGCTTCCATAAGCCGGCCGCCTCCATGTTATCCCCTGTCTGCACCGAAATCAAATACTGAGAATGGTATTCTGATAGGAAACCACAGTGAAAACCACGAAGGATCTTCGCAAAAGTATCTATTGCATCCCTACATAATCACCAACCGTTGACAACTCATCACGCGTGAGCACATTGCACATGTGGATATGATCCGACCCCTTGTGTGCACGGTTTCTTGGTTTCAAGAGAAATATGCATTATTATTATTATTATTATTATTATTATTATTGTTATAAGGTGCATCGCTACGGCAACGATTCCGGTCTTGGAAAGAGTAACGCATTATAGCTAATAAAATATTAACTATTATTTGAATCACAAAAGAGAGATGTCAAATATAGTGCCCGTAAAACGCATGAAAAGAAAATAACGCCAAGATTTGATAGACATTTGCCTAAACTAATACCATTCTGACATAAATTGGGTAACGGAGCTTATAGAACTGCTGATTAACACCTGTTTGCAAAGGCAGATGTTAATGGTGAGTGCCAAGGTGATTTGAAAATATGAAGACTGGCATGTTGTGTGGGATATTCCAATGAGTTAGCGTTTACACTGGCCTATAGGGCGACAATAGAAAATGAATAAAGTCAAAGCAGGTAGGAGAAGCCCAGTCATGTTGATCATTCACCTAACTCGGTTATGCTTGTGTACAACCATTTCTAGTGCATATTATATACCCTTCGGTCCTTTCCAATAGGCTTCTTATTCTGAATAGTTCAACTGCACCACCTACCTTGAAGACTTTAATGACTCGTTCACAGAAGCCATGAGTAAAAGCGCAACATCTTAAGGATAGTAGAAGTCTGTTCCAAATAACTGCATATTTATTTAGGAATAGATTCGGACTTATTTTTGTATGCAATTTGCAAACCAGTGGGCGAAATTTTGGTTTCCTGATTGGTAATGAGAACTGTGTTACAATTAAGGACAGTAATTGGGTACATTAACATGTCGACGTACCACATCGTAAAAGCAAGCGTTACCTGTGGTATGAGCATGAGAATGGTAGCTGCTGGTGTTCGCCTACGCATCCGAAACGCACAGGCAAGTGACCACAAATCGAGCAGCAACCCCTACACGTGTAAGCACGAACCGCTTCCTAAGCCGGCCTGATCGATTCTGCTTCCACCGGTTGCAACCAATCAAGAAAGAGTAACTCGAATTCGAGCAATGCAGTGTAGACTATCCCATGAATACTACATTGCATTCGGGTCCAACTATAGATTCTGACCGCAGCCTAGTCTTTGTTCTTAATTCCCGGCAGGCTACACGACATTAACTTTAAGCCTTCTGAACCAAAGCATGTCAAGTCTCAACGTTCGGTACCTTTCCGAGTATGAATGTTGTCGAGTGGAACCCAGAATCTATCTGGTAAATGTGCGTTGAACGCGTTCCGGCATGCGGTCATGCGTTGCATAGACCGGGGGTAACCAAACTACGGCTCCGTTTATTCGCCCAGCCGACTGTACTCGATTTTGCTTGAGAAAGTGTATGGAACACGAGATGATGTGATACCGTTTACATTTGACACTACAGCTCGTGTTGTCCATGATCTTCTACCTTTTGAACATTAGCGTAAGCCAGATCACGGATACTACATGGACACCGTTCTACCGCACTGTTAGGGACCACACACCGTTAGAATATTGATGTGTGCGATCACGCATGAAACCCACTCATCTGTTCAAGCTATCGCACTTCTGCTTACCTCACACATTTGTACCGCGATTTTCCGTTGCTCAGCTCCATTGAACTTTGTGACATACCAAACACTCCTTATGAAGACGTCTTTAGTATATGCATGTGTCATTTTGGAGTCATATAGTAGGGAGGCGGAATGCAGTGATTACCCGGAGAACAGAAAAATCACAAAAAACGTGAGCGGACGGAAGCAGGAATAGTCGCAATGCCGGAGGGCAGATGAATGCACGCCGGCCTGACGGAAGGAGACGAGAACGGGTCACGAGCGGCGTCCGGTAGTGAGTCTGAGCCAGGCAAAACAGAGAGGGTATTCTTCGAGAACGTAATAAATCAAACAAAAGCGCCGTTATTGCAGCCTCTCGGGCCAACCTCAAGCAGAGGAAAGCATCCACGATCAAGCAACTCACAATCTATTGAACCACCTCGGTCCGATCAGAATGAGATGCGTAGAAACCGAAAAAGGGGGTGAAATAAACAGCAAAAAATTCCACTATGAGGTCCCAAACTTACCTAAGCGTGTCGTGAGCGGAAGCCAGGGAGATGGTGCGTCGTGGGAAGGAAACTTGACTCATTCATTTCTGCCTGCGTAGGCAATTGTGCTTCATTACCGCATCGTTCTTGTTACAATAATAGCTAGCCATTTGGGAAGCGTTGCAGGTTATTAGTACGGAATTGAGCTGGAACCGCAATTTATTGATAGGCTTACATTTTGGTGACACTAACTGCCTATAAGTAGCCAAGGTACCTATTCAGGGCGCTGTATTTTGTTGATGTAGTTCTAATGGAATCGCTTTATACAAACCTACAAAGCGCATTTCCGCAGATATATATATATATATATATATATATATATATATATATATATATATGTCTGGCCGCATCCTGTTTCGGATTTGCCTGTCAAGGTGGCCTCCATAGGACAGCCATAGGACGCCTGCGCCTACAGAGGGATCATGAGCGGCCTGCGCTGCGCCACCCACAGCTCCAAGCACACACTCCATATCCAGTGTAAACCCAAATGGATAAGACCGGGAGGCATGCGGATGGGAGCCAAGTTTCATTAACGGAGCCGGACCAAACACCTTTACAGACAAACACAAGCACGCTGTATTTGGGGAATCAAGTGCACACAAGGCGGTGGCTGGACCGTAGTCCGCTCCACACTGGCTGCATGGAAGCACCCTTCGAGCCTAACACGGCCACAAGGACAGTGCACGCCGTCCCCTCCAGCAACGACCAACTGCCTCCTGGAGTCACTGTGGACGAGGTGGTGCATAACAGACAGGTAGGCACCTTGTCAACATGCACATGAAGCGCAGCCACACTGGGGATATTAGGCAAAAACCAATCATTTGAGACGACAATGCCAAATAAAATAATCGCATAATGCATACAGATATGCCGACATAGCTCTATAATAAATGAGCACATGAAATAAATTGCTTTCCAAAATATCCGCTATAGTTTCAAGAGGTAAGAAAATTGATTTATGAAAATACCACAAATGCGAAAATATTATTAAAGTTAACTACGATTAACTTGAGCGAGGTGTGCAAGTTAATAGGAGATAGTTCTCGTAGGCAATAATGAGACAATATTGCAAACCCACCACATGAAATAAAGAGACAGCATGCAAGCAAGCGGTTAATAAATCGAGTGCAGCGTACCTACAAACGTTGCGCTGGTTCTGCCTATCTTCTCTGCAGGACCCATCGTCGATTCGGTGGTGGTGCCGAGTGGCCTCGCTCATGGCTCACTAGGCCTACCTGACTCAGGCACTCGCGACCGCATGTGCTACAGCACAATGCGCGCGATATCGATGGAGTACAACCCATCGGTGCCTGCCGCTTCCGCACTTGGTGCTTCTTCTCCGTATGCACGAGGGCTTTCTCCCACACCTAGGCAACTGCCTTCGTGATCAGATCGCGCCATGCACGCCGATCAACCGTCTTCGATCTCTATGATCTGCAATCAAGATTAGAACCTGAGAGGCTCACTTTGATCATGTCCTGGCAACGTTAGTTTGGTTTCCGCACATACTGCTTCTCAGTACTCAGCTGACCATGTGAGTGTTGTTTCGGTATCCGCCTTGAATCCATACGGCTCACATGACCGATCCACCTCAGGTGTCTCAGCAAATGTATGCAGTCCACTGCATACATTCCACTACGGCGCAACACTTCCGTGTTCGCAAGTCTGTAGCAAAATCCGATGCACAGAATCAGTCGCAAACCCTGTTGACGGAACCGTTCGAGATATCACACATCCCGCCGGTCCATCGTCTATGTTTCACTGCCATATGGAACAAAGGACAGCACCATAGATTTGTACATCATAAACTTGGTGCTAATGGTAAGCTGACGGTTGTTCCACACTCGGTACTCTAGCTACTCGAATGCCGCCGCTGCTTTGGATACTCGGATACGCAGCTCACTGTGTAGCTGCTGGTCAGTCGACATCATACTCCCAAGCTGGCAGAAGCGGGAGGTGGTTTCCAATACTTCGGCACCAATGCTGATTCGCGGCAATATTGAATATTGCACCTCCAATGAAGGCTGAAAGAGATAGACAGGTTTGATTGTGTTGATGGTGAGCCCGAATTTGGCCGCTGTCGAAGCCAGAGCACTAGTCATGTGTTGCAACTCATCCACGCTGTGTATAAACAACACACAGTCCTCAGCAAACAGCAACGTACGAATAGTTGTTTCACAGACTAAAGTCCTCTCACCGAAACGATGTATGTTCAGCAACCAACCATCAATACGGTACTCCACACGAACACAGTAATCACAATCCGCATCAAAAGCACAAGACATCGTGGCATTAAGATATATTAAAAAGGGCAG